CTATAGTACAGAGCATGATTTCTTTATTGATATTCAAATATCACATTTGGTTATCGTTGTCAAATCTGATTTGACTGAAATAAATGATTTTATAGTACTGCGTGTCCTAAATTCGTATTTAGGACTCGATCAACTGTTGACTTAAATGAACAATTATAAAACGAGTGGAGAGGAATTTATTAGGCTACGGGCTCATATTTACGATCAATCAATAGATTTCTGCTCTAAAAATTTGACTTTCACGGCAAAAAAAAATAAAAAAATATATTTAAAAACATTCAAAGCCCCGAAAAAATAGAAAATAATAAATAATTAATAATTAAAATTACATCTTTTTGTCGGTTATGATTCAATCTGAAGTATGCTAAAACCTCAATTAATGATTCTCAAATGTTTTTTATTAACGATTTCACTCAGTCGTAAACATTATTCTGGTGTGAAATATTTTCTGAACGTTATTTAATTTAACAAAAATCTTACTCCGTAATAAATATGGACAGTGATAATGATTTAGACCATGGTTATAATGATTTTGTTCCTGACGAGATAAAAAAAAATGGGGGTAAGAATATAGCTTTAATGCAATTTTTTGATGAATAAATTTTTTGGTAATTTTGGTTGTTAAAGAAAATTAAAAAATTATAAAGTGACAGCTAAATTTAATGTTATTTAATTTTATATATTGATTGTTTCAATGTGTGAATTTATTTTTTGTTAATTCATACTAATCACTTTGGATTTATTATTTGATATATATTTGTTTCTTTTTTTTAACTTTTTATTTGTTTTTTGAGCCCACATATATCGCCGCATTTGTAATAAAAAAATTTTCCTTAATTAATTTTTATATTCAAATTTGAATAAAACTGAAGATGAATTTAGGACACTGGTGCTACAAGATACTCGTGGCTTAATGTACTATTGAAGTATAAAGACGTATTTCACGTATTTGTTAACTGTAAATAAATAACTATTTGATTCAAATAAATTGTTGTCTTAGTGCACTGAGAAAACAGTTAGTTTGATTTAAATTCGTAGATTTATTTAAAATAACTTAAAAATACGTATTTAATGTGAACATATTTGTTTCATTTAAATTTGGATTACTTCCAACCAAATACTATTTTGTTTTGGTTTATTTGATAGAACTCGCTCATTTTTATTATCGTTAACAAATCTGATTTGACTGAAATAAATGATTTTAAAGAATTAAAGAAATATTTGTTAACTATAAATAATTAAAAAGTTTGGAAAATCCAAAAGTGCACGCCTCATAATCTCATATTCCACAATAAAATTTATTAAAATAAAATACAAAAAACAGAAAACTCTGCTATGGATTAGTGACGGAATAATTCTAAGGTGAGGAAAAAAATATTATAATAAAATGTATAGATAGAAATACAAAAAAATCCACAGTCATACATTAGTTTTTTATAAATAATCATTTAACGACAGTGAATTGAACGCTCATATTAATTGAGAAAATCCGTCGTGTGTTTCTTTAGATAATAAAAAAAAAATTATTCCGGTTCGATCATTTTTTCGACCAATTTCCCTGCTACATACACCCATTCATACACGGACGTCCAAAAGAGATTATGTTTAATGTTATTATTTATTATGTTAAACAAAAAAATTGTTATTGAAATATATTTTATGTGCCTGACAAATTATTCGACTTGATATGTGTACTCATATTAACCTGTAAGTGCGATATAAATAACAAAAAATCAATTTCAGTTTCGAGAAAACTGCTTTTTTTGAAATGTCGAGAGTAGAGCACAACCTCAACGCTTCGCTTATGAAGCGTGCAATATTTAATTGAAATAAATACACTAAATAAACCATATCTTTGTCTCAAATAAATTAATTTAATTGTGTCAAATAAGTATTAGTTGGTGGTATTTAAATAAGAGATTTCTTCATTACAAACGAATCTCATTTGATTTAAATAAATAGTCTTCTTCAGAATCTGAAGAATACATACATTATTATAAATTATTTATACATGAATTGCAAAAAATCAATCATAAAAATTAAAATAATTAATTTACCATAAAAAAATCATGACAGCAAGTCAGCATATCAAGTATGACAAAAAAAGCTAAGAAAATTTCATTTTTCATTCAATAATTAATAAATTAATTAATAAATAAATTAATTAATGACACAAACAAAAAAACGAATTATTATTGGACAAGACTTTTTCTTTTTTCTAAAAACAATAAGAAACATTTAAAAATAAATTCTAAAATAATAAAAACATTTGAAAATTCAACAAATTAATATAGATGTAGTATTCATAGATTTTTTGTGAACTTGAGTATACATATGTTTCCCGCAACATATACATATTTCTTATTATAAAAATAGATTAAAAACAGCTAATTTACGATTACATCAACACATCACAGCGGGTATTCTGTTTTTTTTTTTTTTTTTTTTTTTTTTTTTTTTTTTTTTTTATATTGATACTTATAGCCCTAAAAAGTGATGATACATCCGAAAATTACGCATTTAGGAAAGATAATCTTTTTTTTATTACATAGAAGATTTTATAACATGAGTTTTTATTTATGTAAGTAATTTACTTTTAGAAACTTATGCCAACTTCGAAATATATTTGCGGTGAAATTACAAATAATTTTTTAAGATATTTAAATATTACCAAAAGAATGTATAATTACTAATAAATAATTAGATGGTAAAATCTTTAAATATGTAACTTGAGTTTTTAGAGGAAAATTTATTACGTAAAAATAAAAGAGTAGGAACATTTTTTGTTGCGGTCAACTTTGAAAAATAGATCCGTATCTAATTGTATCTATCTATATTTTGATACTTTGTTGGAGTATCGGTAGGCAGCTGCTTACCTTTTCTCCAAGCCTTATGGTATTACTTTATAACACTCACAAAAAAATTTTAATTACATCCGTAGAACCCACAAAAGAATTTCTTAACATTAAAAAAAAAAAAATTATCTTTTACACTAACAACTTGAATCTTCACATTTTGATGGATATTAAATAATTTTTAATTAATAAAAAAATATCTCTTTATTTTCAAAATACTAATAATTATTTATTATCCACGCCAAAAATATAAGAAGTTAATAATAATCAATGCACATTGATAAAAAAAATTTCCTTTGAAAAATATGGGCATTCTTATGACAAGAAATTAATTTTTTGGAAATTGCAACAATTTTGTTTTTTAACTAAAGAAATTAATATTTTTTTTACAGTAACATTCATGTTGGAAAAAAGTTTGCTAGTTTTGGAAAAAAAAAAAAAAAAAACAATTTTAGATAGACAACTTGAGAATTTTTATTCAAAATTGTTAAAAATTTCGAATAAATTAATTTCTTGTCACAAAAATGCTCATTTTCTTGAAAAAAAGTTTTTTCTCTCAGTGCACCACATATTTACTCTAACAAATGTTTTTGGACCTGTTATTGACGATAGTTTCCGTTATTTTTGTAACATACTTTATACACTGATAGAAAAAATGACTTGATTCAAGAAAAATTTTTACTTCAAAATGTCATTCTTGTTTTAAGTAATTCAATTCTCGTAACTTAAGAAATTGATTCTCGAATCAAGAAACTTATTGGTTGTTTTTAAATAAGATATATACAACTTCACCCCAAGAATTTCTTTCTCTTGGATTAAGAAAGACGGTAACATTAGTTCAAGATATTACTGACTTGTTCTAAGTATGGCGCGACTCTTGAATTAAGATATTATTTTACTTGTTTTAAAAATATAAATTTTTGTATTTTTGATATTTTCTGTATTAATAAATATTTTTTGTTATACTCGCTCCAGAAGTTCAACTTCTGAGCGCTGGGTGGCGTCCGTAAAGGGACTCTTTTCTAGAGACTCTACCATACCGTCTCTTTTTCACGGCTTAGGCCGTGAAGTTTTACCCCCTCCTTTTTTTTACGAACTTTTCGTGTACACCCAGACGAAATTGAGAGACTGTAAAAAAAGTCACATTCTAGGGTACTGACCGATAATTTTTAGTCTTAGTTACTATTAAGTGGCGCTTATTATTTCTCTGCTGGCAGTTTATTACGAAGTGGACTTAATGTTAATAAAATAACAACAACGCTATAAATAAATACTAATAAAAAGTTATTTACATTTTCTGGATGTGAGCAAGATTTTAAGATTAATAAAAAGATAATTAATATAAAATTAATTTTTTTTGGCCTTGTGAAACTTCCTAAAATTTAAATATGTCATTATTTGCCTCCTATCCCTCAAAAGTTAAACTTATGGAGCGATAATAACAAAAAATATTGTATGTCATTCGGCCGTTTAGTGGCGATTTTGACAACGACTTTTTTTCGATATTCGCTTTAATGTTTGTGACGCGAATGTTCGAAAACGAGCGTAAATTTCCGCCCGTTTGGAACCTTCCCGCCACAAACCTTAAGCTCATATCGAAATATCGTCGCTGTCAGAAAACCGCCACTTCACGGCCTTATGACATAAATATCTATTTCAGCATATAGAGAAATACAAATTTTTTTACTTCAAAGTTTTTTTCTGACTTGAACTTTTAACATTATAAATAAAAAAATTTGTTCTTGAATCTACAATCAATAATTCTTGAAATGAAATAAAATTATTCTTTATTGAAAAGAATCGCTTTTGAATAAAGAATTCACTTGTATCGATCGAAGATAATATAGTCTTGAACCAAGTAAAAATGTTATCGATCGGAGTGATTAGATCTCTCACTCCAAGAAACATGAATTCAAGACAAGAATTTCTTGAAATAAGACAACTAATGCTCTTCAAAATAATTTTCTTGGAACAAGAATATTTTTCTTGAATGAAGATATTTTTTTTATCGGATATTTTAAATATCATTTCTGTCACTTAGGCCTCTTATTATCCGCAAGTACCTTATATGCTAATTATAAAGCCAAAATGACCTAAAATTTGGTTTTGTTACAGGGAAGACAACCTAGCAGGTGACCAGACGGAATGGCGACGCGCTCAAACTTATTTCCGGCGTTGTCGATCGTCTTACTACTTTCTATGACAATAACAACCATTGAAACCAGTGGGGATTTGTGTCCAGCAATCTGCAAGTGTGAAGATGAGTTTTTACGAGCATCTTGTGCTTACGCGAATTTGGAAGTTGTACCAATTCAGCTAAACCCAGAAATTCACCACTTGGATCTTTCCATAAACCGAATAACGAGTCTTAATTTGGGGTTTGGATTCTATAACAATCTTGAAAGTTTAGATCTATCTTACAATATACTACACACCTTGGGATCAGATAACTTTCTACTACAAACTCACATGGAGATATTGAATGTCAGTAACAATAATCTGCGAACTATTGGCAGGAATTCTTTAAGAGGCTTAGAATCTTTAAGAATTTTCGATGTAAATAACAATAACATCACGGAAATGGATTCCGCAGCATTTCGCCATACGAGCGAATTGGAAGATTTGAATCTCAGCGGGAATTCATTAACAAGTTTACCAAATGACCTTTTTAAAAATTTACACAAAATACGAAATCTTAAATTAAATCGAAACTCACTTCTTGAAGTCCCGGCAAATAATCTTCATTTAGTTCCTAGTCTAGAGAATTTAGAATTATCAGATAATTTGATTCAAGAAATTTCTCGTGATTCTTTGCCGACATTACGATCTCTAATGTCGCTTAATTTAGCTAACAATTTAATCCAAATTATAAATGAAGAAGCATTTCAACGATTACCAGCACTTGTGTATCTCAATTTAAAAGGTAATAATCTCACTTACGTGCCAACATCCGCTCTATCGCACTTGAGTCTTTTGTCGAATTTGATTCTGTCGAGGAATCCACTTGAACAATTAGATAATTTAGCTTTTCGTAATTTATTTGAGCTTAAAACAATTGATTTGCGTGAATGCACTATTTTATACATCAAATCTCGTGCATTTGCGGATAATGTAAATCTTGAGAAGATATTTCTTGATGGAAATCATGATCTAAGGCATTTACCATCACGGATTTTATACTCAGCAAGATATTTAACAACAGTCTCACTGCGTCATTGCAATTTGTCGAGCCTTGAACCCACGCACTTTCCAGTAGATGGATTAAATCTTTTGCAAATTGGTGGAAATCCTTTAATTTGTAATTGTTCTCTACATTGGCTCTGGAATGTTATTCACACCACTGAAGAAAACAACGGATCAAAATTGTTTGTAGATCGTGGAGAAATTTTTTGTGCAGATGATGTTTTTAATGGTAAATTATTAATGAACCTCACGGAAAGTTCTTTGCGTTGCCGATTGAGTTCGTTGTATTTATCATTATTAGCCGCAGGATGTTTGACGGCTGCTGCAATTATACTCATCTTAGCTGGTTATATAACGCGTAATAATCGTCGGAAGAAAACTTTCAATCGTCCTACTCGTCCTGAGTTATTAGTTTATGTTGGGTTGAACGAAGATGTTCCAAAACGTACTCTTGTACATTCACCGATTAATGTTGATCTCTACCGTTCTCCACTCTCATCATCAAGCAGAAGAGTTTCTAACGTCCAAAGAAGTTCGAACAATCACAATGATATGTCTAGCGCTTCGTTCTATCAAACTCAACATGATCGAGATCTCACACTAGATGATAATACCTTCAATGAACCAATAGAAAACCTGAATCGATGTAGAAACTCTGATATGGAAAATTTAGGCGCAGTTAACAATGATCCTAATTTACAAAAGTCAGAAGTTTATGATAATAGCAGTGTCTATGGAGTACAAAATTCAAATTTAAGATGTCAAAAGAGTAGTACGGATAGTGACTACGAGTATGAATATTATTCATCGCCAATGGTGCTATCTGCACAAAAACCTCACATTGTGTTTGTCTAAGTGTTTACTTTCAATGATTTAAGTAATTACGAAGAATGCAGCTAAACGTTAATATTTGTGTCTGTTAAATTTTGCCGTTATTTAATGCCGGACCTTATGGTCATACACAGAAAGAAAAATTTCTTGACGAGAACAAAATTCTTGGCTTAAGAAGATTTTCTTGAAATTCTATTTTTGGTGGAAGTAATTTTTTCTTAATTTAAATTATCATAAATACTTGATACAATAAATTTTTATATTTGATCAAGATTTTTAGATACTTTAGAGAAGTAGCGCCACCTAAAATATTTTCTTGGCTCAAGTGAACCTTTTTTTCTGTGTATAGACATCTACTATCGATGCTTAGTTGATGAAAAAGAGAAAAATTTGGAAAATCCAAAAGTGCACGCCTCATAATCTCATTTTTCATAATAAAATTGATTAAAATAAAATACAAATACTTTTAAATCTCTCGCGCCATTGTCCACCCAGAAAAGAAAGGTACTGCGCATGTGTTGTAAACGAACCCTATTAACATAGATATAGATATACAAACGATAAGTGGATTTTATTGTTATATATTTCAAGAGTCTTCTATAATTTTTTCATCAAAATATATGTCATATTATGCGTGGTACAAGCATTTCGCCGAGGCGCCTCGAGTATGCAGGTGTCGTGCGGCGAGAAAGATGCAGGTCGCAATTTTCATCTGAAACTAAAAAACCAAAAAAATTTTTAATTTTCAATAGTATAGCTTCTAGTTAAACCAAGAAAATTAAAAAAAAAAGTGAAAAATTCAATTATTTTTCGCAAATTAAAAAAAAATTCATTTTTTTGGAAAAAAAAATTCATTTTAGATTGTTTAAAAAAATGGTTAATCATTACTTTTTCAAGTTTTTTTAGGTTCAACTAGAAGAGAATTTTATCCCGAACACAACCAATTTTGTCTCGTTTCGATAGGACGTTTAGTTTTTTTTCTATCTTTCCCGCCAACTCGGGAAAATCGTAAAAATGAGAAACCGAGAAATCGCCCGTCAAAGTTTTCGTAAATAAAAAATCTTAATTTTTTTGAACTTACCGCAATAATATGCTAATCAGCGATTCCTGGTCCATAGAATGGCCCTTGAGACTCTTCAAAAAACTGGTTTTCGCCCAGATGTTCGAGTCTGCGGGCTGTTCTGGCCTCTTTACTTTCCAATGAATCGCGCCTGTTTTGTCGGTTGACACGCTCATTGTCAGCTCCCTTGGCGAAATTGTTACATTGCTGTCCAATTTTTAAATCTAGTAACTGCATGGTTTTCAATACTGCACTGTAGCCTTCATTGAACATTCCTCCAGCGATGTAAGCAGCAATCTCGACGATTTTAATGCCTGAGTTAAGGTGTTTAGGTACGATGCGCCACACAGTGGAATTGAACGACTCGTTCGCATTTTGTGTGTGTCCACCTAAACATCTCGTTAGCAGATCGTCCTTAGATAAATCCTCGTAAACAGGACGAATGTGCTTCTCGACATGTTAGTCAATTACACGTGGTGGATGTTTAAAAGCAGCCAGGGTGTTTGTCGCTTCAGCTTTGCGCCACTCACACCAGCTTTCGACGCCTTCCGGGCATTTACCGTGGCGAGGTAATTTATCTGTAGAGCAATAATGATCAAGTGTCGCCATTATTGCATTTCTCATATCTTCTACAAAATTCAAGTTTCTTCGAATCGCCAGACCGTAATAAATTGTTAATTTTTTTATCAAAGCCTCGTTGAGCCGTTTCTTTCCACCGAGCTTCTCATCTATCGTGCGGAGACGAGTACCCATGCGCTTTTGTACATGTCCCACGCACTCGTTTTTGGTCACTGTGCACTCGTCGCCGTATGGATCACTGTTTAGGATGCCAAGAAATGTTTTGGTATCGCCGTCGCCAATGTAATTACTATACATTACTCCAAATTTCTCGATGGACCTTGAGAACATTTCCACAATCGAATCAACTTCCATTTTCCCGGCCGAACCTGCGTGATTTGAAGAACAATTTTCTTTATGGCTTTCATACCAATTTTCAAACTCGTCGTCGTCCAATGTATTTTTCTTGATGGCACAGGTATGACAATATCCGCTTTTAACGTCAAGATCGACCACTTTGCCACTGTAATACCCAATAAGTGTAGTTACACCGTACAATGAAGTATATCCACGTTTTTTCCACGATCCATCGCCCGAAACTTTCAAACGGTCAGCTGGTCTTTTATTTTGTATGTTGAGTTCTTTTTCCTCATCGACGGCTTTTTTGCAGACGCTCTCAAACATTGTTTTTGACGCTGTATACAGGTGTTTCACGATTTGGTCATACGTCGATTTTTCTAAGCCCTAAGACATATCCATAAGGCCACAAAAAATGTTAATGCCTTCTCGTGCGACACCCAAAAGTCTCATGACGAACACAATTCTTCTGTTGATTTCGTAGCCGGTGTGAATGAACGGTCCGGATTGAATTTCTCGTTTACCGCATTTACACGACAAAATGATTTTGAATCCTACACCCCAATGGCCGCTTTCGGCAAACGTAATTCTCTGCTTATACGAATTGCAAATAACTATCTCAGAAATAGCTAAAAACACAGAGACAAACTCGATTATCCGATAGCAATGAGACGGATAAATTATAATATCGTCCGTAGTTGCTGACGCCAATTTTTTTTCACTACGGCTAGTATTAGCCTTTCCATCGTCCGATGACGAAACATTAAGAAACTGATTGCCCTGGAATTTGCGCTTCCGGGGCTTTCCAGTCCGTTCACTTGAAGATTTGATCAATTTAGGATAGCTCTGCATGTTTTCGAGATGTTCACGTGCCGAAAAACAAATCAAAACTGAATTTAAATGCTAAATATAGCTTTGCTCAAGCCAACGTAGCCAGCTAATATATATAGTTATAATACATTCTTTTATCCCTACCATAGCTCCACAATGGGCTTCTACGAATAGTCAGTAGTGTCTCGAAGAACTGTTAGTCCCTTTGGATTCTTAGAATGGTTACAATGGGTACAATACATACAATAGATCGAGGGGCAGAGCGCGGGCACTTCGAGCGATCCGGCCGCTCGTATACCTGTTTGACGCTTGCTCACTATTTCTTCTGTAACTCCGAAAATAATTTGAATTTGCTTTTGAAATTTTATGGGCACATTCTTGGATAGTTTGGGAAGACATTTATGCAAAAAAAAAAAAAATCGATTTTTTGAAGCCTCTAAAGCAGGCTCCCCCCTTGAATTAGACCGTGATCTTCGAAAGGACTTAATTTTGGATAATACTGAAGCGTATAAAAAAAAAATATACTGGATCAGTTAAGTTTTTCGGCAGTTATCGTGACGACGCCAGTTTCCATACATACATCAGACACACAGACGTCCACGGAATAATTTTTTTTATTTATTTAAAAAGCAAAATGCACTTTAAAAATGTTATAAGTGTTGAAACTGGTGTTTTTCCATGACATTTATGTGTAAATATTATTCTACAAGTGCGATAGAAAATAATTAGAGACAATTTTGGTTCAAAAAATCGCTTGATTTTTGTAAGGCGAGAGTATAGCACTACCTTATCCGCTTCGCTTATGAGGCATGCAATTACGAACACTTTTGAGATGCACGAAATTAAACTATAATGTACGTTGATCTACAAAACTAAGATCACTGTACATATCCATGCATCTCGGTAGATAGTGCATAGGGATTTTGATCGGCTTATAACTACGTGAATCCAAAAACTGGCGCATGAATTAGTGCGAAAAATCTATTGCGAATGTCCTCATGTACGTATGTCTTTTGCTTTGTATTAAAGCAATAACGCGATTTTAAAAATTCTATATAACTTGCTGGATATCGGAAGTGAGACTATTAAATGTGTTTTTTTCTAAGGCTTGCACTGAATTTTCAGTAATGCTCTGTCTACTATTTTGAGCATGACACGCATCGAAAAATATAAGAACAATCTTTGAATTAATGATCCGACTTGCTCAATATTTGGAAAAAATCGTTACTTAAGAACCTTATTTAAGTGATATTCTTATAAATTATTAAATGTTTTAACTAACATTTTTTTGATTGTATTTTTATTAAACAACCATTTCTGAATCCGAATATTCTATCGACAAAAGTTTTCGTTAAGACGTTATTGATTACTATCGTCTTAATATATCAATGCACTTTTGATCTCATCCTTTATTGTTAAATAATTACACTAACAAGACTAAGTATAATCCAAATAATACTGAGTGATATCTGGATTATACTCATTGTAATCTTCCATTGCTCCCAGTACAATCTCAGATTATACCGCACAAGATTTCACTGGATTAATCCGAGATTGTATCCTGTAGAATTTGGATTATACTCAATAGAATTTTGGATTATGCCCAGTGATATCTTCGTGATTTTTTTTCTATATTTGCGCAATAATCGTATATTTTCGTAATGATCGAAGATATATTTTTTTGTCGCTAGAATTCGTCGGTATTAACCAGAAAAAATCGCAAATTTTTCTAGGAAAAATTTTGGAGTTCAAATAAAAAATAAATTGCAATAATCATGACAATGATTTTTTAATTAAAAAAAAAAAAAAGAAAACGAGGTTAAAAAGGTTAACAATGTTAACTTTCTATCAAAGAAGAAATTCAAAAATATTGGGAAGAAAATTTCTTATTTTTAAATTCATTTTTTTATTAAGGGGTGATATAAGTTATTATTGTATAATAAAATTATTTATAGCGATAAAAGAACTAGTCTTGGACGATTAAGGAATTTTTCATTTTTCAATAATAGAAAAAAGATAATACTAAAGTTAGCCGACGTTTTTAATTATTTTTTTATTTATTAAATTGGAACATTAAAATATTTTTAAAAAATTATACGTAAAGTTTTTCAATTTTTTTAACAAATGAAATTTATTTTTTTTGAATAATTTTTTCAATAAAAAATTAAAAATTTATAGATGTCGGCAAACTTATTACATCTAATCAACGGAATCAGAG